TCTAGGGGGCGGTGCTCATCTCCGTTTCAAAGCCGAAGAGCCAGCGCTGTCCGAAGACGTCTCCGTGGTCATGTGGCCGGCATGACTCACCGCTGAAGGCGCACGGAACGCCCTTCCCTTCCCACCAAAGGTGGTTCCTATTTTTCTACTTCCATTTGTTACATGCTTTCAAACTGCTAGGTTTGTAGAAGCTGGGACAAGTAATGGGAGCTCACTCCGTTACGCAGCGCTAGGGATTCGAACCGCCGAACTGCCGACCTTTCTGATTGTCAAGCTCATCGTCTTAGCCACTGAGTCACCTCTGAATGAATACAATTTGCCTATTAAATGACACCCAGAGATTAAACAGAAGGCATTTTTAAGAGGGATGTTAAAATGAGTCTAGTTGAAGCCTGCAAGGGGAGTGTTTGTTTCTGGGCCTCCTTCCTATTGAAGGGATGAGTAACCGATAGGGAAAGTGAAGCGTTTTCTGTTAAAGCTTCTCATCTAGCTTTCTGGGACCACCCAAGATGAAATGGAGAGGCTTGGTTCGCAGGAGGAGAGTCAGACATATTTCACTGGCTGACAAAACTCCACATCCTCTCAGCAGAGACGGCTAGATCCCAGGGGCCGAGCAGGATCTCCACAACCACAAGTCAAGTGAAAACAGATGGAAATTATGACTCGCTTGAAAACATAGAAGCATTGCCCCCAAAACGCATCTCGCTCCAAACTCAGAGAGATCGGGAAACAGAGCTGAAAATCTAAATTAGAGCAAACCAATCAGCCCAGTTTAAAAAAAAGCCAAAAGCAGGCAAAAAAAGAAAAAAAGAGAACATTTTTAACCGTGAGTGGTGCAGAGGTCTACCCTACACTGGGAAAAGGGGGAACGAAACACGAAATCCATACTGCGCCCTTCCATTTCCTTTGACTGAGTGATGGCTTAACCATATATTTTTTTGTACCTTCCATGGCAGCAGCGTTGAATCTTGTTACCAACAATCTGTGTGATTCCCTTTCGCTCTTTCCTAAAAGCTGTTGACGGATACACACACAAAAGCCAATGTTTAAATACATCGGAGAAGTAAAGTGTTTGAACTTGCAATTAGGCTACCACAATTTTGATTTGCTTGGGCACACGAGCAGAGCATTCAAAAAACAACTTGTCGTTCATTTTTAATGGTACACGTTGCTGTTTAAACGGCAACATTAAAACACACAAAATGCTTGGAACAGTTTTTTTCCCCCCTTTCCTCTTAAGCCATCGTGTCTTCAAATATCATTACATAATTGTAATATATAGGGATGCGATGGCTCAGTGGCTAAGATGCTGAGCTTGTCGATCAGAAAGGTCGGCACTTCGGCGGTTTGAATCCCTAGTACTGCGTAACGGAGTGAGCTCCCGTTACTTGTCCCAGCTTCTGCCAACCTAGCCGTTCGGAAGCATGTAAAAATGCAACTAGAAAAATAGGAACCACCTTTGGTGGGAAGGTAACAGTGTTCTGTGCGCCTTCGGTGTTGAGTCATGCCAGCCACATGACCATGGAGACGTCTTCGGACAGCGCTGGCTCTTCAGCACTTTGAAATGGAGATGAGCACTGCCCCCTAGAGTCAGAAACGACTAGCACATACGTGCAAGGGGAACCTTTACCTTTACCTTAATTGTAATACATACATACATACATACATACATACATACATACATACTGTTGAAAGAAGTGCTTGACAAAAAAACAAAACCATTTTCCCCCAAATACTTCATTCTATATTATACAGAATAAACTAAAAAGTTACCAAATGTAATTTAAGGAGTAAAAATTAAAATAATTAACAAATGTCAACATTCTTAAGAAAGATGTTGTTAGTCTAAAATGAGGGCGAAGCATATGATTATTACAAAACAAGCACACAACGTTTAAAAAAATAGAATAATTGGAAGCTGGAAATTATTGTGGCATTTCACAACCAAGTCAATTCTTCCATTTCATTTTTTTATATGCATTATTATTTATTAAAAATACACGAATCCCATTTTCAAATTAGACATTTCCAAGGCTTTTGCCAATTTTGAAATGAAAGCCAATTTAAAAAAATAAAAATACTCAGGATAGGATAAGCCAAAAAAACCTTACAAGAACACAAATACCCTACAATCAAAACACAACAGCAATTTTAACAAATTAGGACCAGGCATTTCTTTCCAATAAACACCAACTTCACAGTTATGAATTCCGTGCAATGTCTCCTAACATTGCTATGTATGGGCAATCCCAATGTG